AGGGGCTACATGCAGAACAGCACAGTCAGCTCTGACAGTCATCTTGATTTAGTCATGTAGTGGCCTGATCAGCATCATTTTGATTATTTTAGGTGCAGTTGATCTTTAGTTCCAGGGTTGATTTTCTTGAGTCTGGTTCTCAGAATTGTGGCAGTTTACGTCACGGCTGTAATCTGGTAATCATGTAGTTAACTTCTTCCTCCTAGTGGGATTTCGTTATCTACAAAACTGCTCACAGGATATGGCTCAGAATATTATCGGTAGCCTTAAGAGGAACTAAATGTCTTCGACTTAAATGACTAAACTGCTACTGTTTGGTCTTGTTTGACTATTTTCCTTTGCTTATGCATTTTATCATTTCTCTCATTATATTACTTATTTGACTAAAGTTTTTCTACGAACAAGTCAGGCAGAGAGCATGGAGGAAGTTCTTTCCTGGGAAGGCCCCATAGGGTCTTATTCCATTTCAGAGACTGGCTCAGAAAACAGGGGTGTTGGTAGACTGGAAAGATGAAGCAGCCTTTTTCTGTTTCCATTCTCTCAGTGAATATAGAAGTGAGGTCATTAACAGGGAGTTATAATGAAGAAATGCCTTGGGGATTTTCGGAGAGAAAAATTTGGAAGGATCTTCTCAGAGTAAACTGACTAGGAAAATGCACTAGTGGATTTATGGGCAGTGTTGTGCTAAGTGGGACCACTTACCATTGTATTCATAAATTATGTGGCTAGATGTATGGCCATTCAGGATGTTCTGCTTCTTGGGGTTCACACTTTGATTAGTAGAAGAGTTAAGTTTTACCAAGGTTGAGGTTTGGCCAAGAGAGCATAGTATAGAGAGGAAGAGGAACAAGGGAGCGATTTCATGATGAATCATGGACTGTAAACTAGATTAGGTGGACAAGAGAGAGATGAATGATAGTGAAAAAGTAGTGGGTAGGGTCAGTGGTTTAAAAATCTCCAAATGAAATGGAGCTGGACACTGTAGGGGCCCTCCAAGGGTCATTCCATTTACCCATTTCTTATTTATGGATAATGGGCTTCATTCAGTCTCCTTGACCTTCCCTGTGTTCCAAATGGCTGAATCAATCAGGGCACGGTCCTGGTTCCTAACACCTTTGGATTCTTCTGTAGGAACTAAGGCCCTCACCCCGGTGGAGGATGGTAACTTTAGACTGACTGCAAGATTCCTGGAATACTGGAACACCACCGTGTTACCTCATGTATACCTGCATGCTAAGTCACTTCAGTTGTGCCTGATTCTTTGTGACCCTGTGCACCATAGCCCCCCAGGCACCTCTGTCCATGGGATTCTCCAGGCAAGGAAACTGGACTAGGTTGCTCTGCCCTCCTCCAGGGGATCTTCCCAACCCAGGGATCAAACCCACATCTCTTATGTCTACCTGCACGGGCAAGAGGGTTCTTTACCACCAGTGCCATCTGGGAAGTCCCCGTGTTACCTCACTACCAACCAATCTGAATAAAGTTTGCACAGTGGTAGATAACAAAGACTCTGACCTCCTCCCCAAATGATTCTCTCTTTAAAAACTTTCCTGGTCATATAGAATGTTTGCAATAGGTTTTTGGACACAAATCTGCCTTCTCCCCAGGGTGCTGGGCTTCTGATTAAAGCAACCTTTTTTTTTTTTCCCCCCAACCAACACTTGTCTCTCAAGTATTGGCTTTCAAGCCAACCTGGGTTCGGTAACACAAACAGTTAAAGTGAGAGTTCAAGAGAAAGATAGGTAGGAGATGATGAGTAAGGAGTGGGATAATTGAAATCAGGATTTGGGAGACTTTTCACATATGTTCTGGTTTAATACCATACCCACTTTATAAGGAAATTTTTATTATCTTCATTTTAGACGTGAACAAAATTGTATTCATAAAGATTAAATAACTTGGCCAAGGTCACAAAGCTAGTCAATGGCAGTTTGGGTAGGAAATAAAAATATTTGCTTTTGTTTTTAAATTCTAAAAGCTTTGTACTATACCAGCTGCTTCTGATTCATGATTGTTGCCTGCTAGACAAAGGATAATCATTATTATGACTGAAAATGTTGACATTGTATTTGTTTTGCTTTTTCCAGGCTTATTATGGCATGCAAATAAATTTTTAAAAGGGGACCCCAGAATACATTTGAATTTTTAAAACATTTCCTTACTTCCTTTAGAAAATAAGTGGGTTTAGAATTTGACTGGAAATGATTTTCACTTCTGTCTTTCAAAATTCACAAAGAAGCATTCACATAGTAGTGTTCAGTAAACTGTTAAATATGGAGTAAATTCTTCCTGATCATATGAAATAAAATTTCCCATGTGTTAAGGAAAGTCTCCGTTTTCCTGTACTTAAAATGAAGTAGATTCCTACTTAATGATAAACAATGATGATTAAAATAAATAATAGAACTTAAAAAGATAATTTTGATTATCTCTACTTTAGGAGGCTTCAAAAATTTGTACTGATGTTCTGAGTTGGTGGTGGTAAGGATTTTTATGTTTCAGTAGAGGAAAAAAAAATGATATTTTAAATAGGTTTTTCAGCCCAATAATTAAATAACAGTACTTACCCGACTTCCACAATACTGCAAACAAACAGAACCAAATTGTGTGGGCTGCTTTTGGTTTAAATTACATGGCGCCCTTTCCAGCAAAACTTTAGGTATAGAGGCTTGATTGAAATAGCTGCATAATTTCTGAGCAGAGGCTTTTCTTTGCTGTAATTACATTCCTGTGGTGACTCATTCTGTCTTAATTTCTTGATTTTATAATTCAAAGAAGGATATTCCCTTGAAATTTGAAAACCTGGAAGACGCAAAAGCAATTTTTTTAGAAATTTATTATTATTATTATTATTACTCCTCCTCCTACTACAGTTCCTCCCCCTCTGAGTATCATTTCACATAGTCGCTTTTGATCTTACTCACTCTGGCTCCCATAATGGGGGTTTACTCACAAGGCAGTGAAGGAGAAAGGATCCAGCATTAGGGATGGGCTGTTCTGGATTCGGTGGTTTACGCAGTGGAGATTTGGGGCTTTTACTCTGACTTTGTAAGCAAATAAGGTGAGGGGGAGATGTCCCTGGAGAAAAAGAACTAGATACAGCTTTTTGACATAGAAGCCATTTGTGATATAAGCCTGGCCAAGTGCTTGACCTTGAGCAGATGTCAGTAATAATGATCTTAAGGAAGCAAAAACTGTTTTCAGGCAAGAGAAATAACAACAGCAAAGATAATAAATCAGTTGTAAAGACTCCCAGTTCTGTTTCAGTGGTAAAGATTGGCTTTAAGCCAATCTTGAGCTGTTTTGCAGACTTGACACTCACGTAGGAGTAGTGCTCAATCATTCCATCAAGTGGAACCTAAGGAAAGATGATGTTGATTTTTTGCTGACCCTCATGACTTCACTCAACTAAAGTGTGAACTCTATTGACTGTTCCCCCAATTCTTTGCTGAATTTTCTCGTCTTTTCATGAATATGCATATACCCTTAACTTGAAACTTCCCAGTTTTGCTCTTGGGGAAGACACTGCTTTGGGCAAGGTGTTTTCCTTACTTGTTGCAAGTAATAAATTCTTTATTCTCCAGCTCTTTGGCTTGGTTGTATCTTTTGGCTTGAGAGCCACCAAGAGAGAGACTAGGTTTGAGGTGACAGGATTCACCCGCTGGCACAGCTCAGCTTCTCTCAAGAGACTGCTTATTTTTGATTTTCTATTTCTCTTTCCATCATCTGGTAATTTTTTTCTTCTTCTGAATTTACTAGTTCAGATTCCCAAGAGAGGGAACCTGGCTGGCTCTGCTAATAAATGCTGCCACTCTCACTGATAGAGAAGTTGTTGGAGACTGTAAGGTTGGGGGCAGTGTTTTGAAAGCATCTGGCTGGTACCTCTCCTGTTGGGGGTATGGTCTTGGATAAAGATTAGGATGTGAATGTACTTTAAAAATTTAAGGACTTTAAAACATTTCATGAGTGTTGTGTCTTGAGGCACCTTTTAAAGGGGAAATTTTTTTCATATATAGAATTAGAGATAAGTATATTTAAGGTGATGCAAATATTTAAAATTATTAATATATAAGAAACTGGTGGTGGTTTAGGAGAGATTTCAAAAAAGATTATTTTAGAAAGCTGAAGTATATTCTTTTTCATTTCTTCTAAACTTCCTTGCCTCTGTTTAATTTTTTTTGTGGGGGAAACATTTTGTTAGATAAAATGTCACACATAACATATGAGAAATGGTATGGTATAGTGGCAAATCAAAACTCTTTGATATAAAGTGAAAGCAAAGATGTGGGGAATGAGAAGAGCTGATCATTTCAAAGTTAGGGGCAAAGCAGTTACTGTTGGGGAAGGCTGTGGCTGAACAGGAGGTGGGGAGTGGGTGGGGGTGAAAGAATTCCACCTTAGCATGTTAAATTTGATATGCCTATTAGATATTCAAGCAGAGACATCAGTAGACAATTAAATCTTCAGTTTGAGGGAAAAAAAAGTCTGAATTGGAAATAAAAAATTAGATATTGACAGTGTCTTAATACTTTAAACTATGAGACAGGAAAAGACCACCAAGGAGTATGGAGAGACTGTCTCCTGAGAGTACCTCACTATTCAAACATTGGAGAAGAGAAACAGCAAAGGAAACTTAAGAAGGATGTAAGGAATAATAAAAATTTAAATTAAAATCTTTGTATACAAAAAAGCTAAAGTAAAAAGGGAAGAATAAGATGTCTTAAAAATAATGGTAGTTTCCTAAACTTGCTGAACTATATTGGTGGAATTAACTTTGCTAAACAAGGGGGTGACAGGTGGGTTAGTCAGTTCAGCTTCATATCCTTTTACAAGTACTAGGCTGTGTGTGTGTGTGTGTATGAAAGAGAGAGAGACCTATAAAGTTTTATTTTTGCCTTAGAATCTATATTAAATAAATCACTCATGCTGGAATGTGGTGATTTTCAAATGACTTACATATTCAAGGTCCTCTTTCATCATTTCTTTTTCTTTTTTTGCAGTGATTTGCTGTCCTCTGAATATGTGGAGAGACACATTGAACATGGAGGGAAGACTGTGGAAGTAAAAGTAAGTAAAATTTTTCTCTTGGGGAAAACTCTGAGAATCTTTTAAGTGCTGCTGCTGATTTTAATTTTCCTTGATACTTCCAATATACAATTTGGGGGTTTTTATATTTCAGAATTTATCATTAAAATGTGTCACTGGCTTAGGGGAAAACTTAGTTATCAGTAAAAGAAGTCTTGGTATACTACAGGAATTTTTGGAGTTATGCTTTGTGGGATTAATATTACTGCAAGTAGTTCTCTTTTAGATTATATCACAGAAAATAATTTCTGAAATTGGCTTTTAAGGTTAGCACTGAGAATGAAGAGGTGAAATCTTGAGTCTAGGGTAGGTGCCTGGCTTTATATTCATTTGGAAAAATTCATCTGGAAAAATTATGAACTTATTATGTCAACAGGGATGTCCCAGAGAGTTTTAAATCCCTGGAGATAGAAATCTCAGGCTACTGTTTCTTGTTGGGTAAACTCTGAAAAAGATTTCTTACAAATTTTTTTTTTCTGATTTATAAGTGGTAGACCCAAGTTTGATCCTTGGGTCAGGAAGATCCCCTGGAGAAGCAATGGCTACCAACTCCAGTATTCTTTCCTGGAGAATTCCATGGACAGAGAAGCCTGATGGATTACATGTGCAAGGGGTTGCAAAAGAGTCAGACACAACTGAGCAACTAGCACTTTCACTTTCCCAGGCATGAGGATGTGTCTTTCATGTCTACTGATGATGTTGTCTGAGGTATATGAGACCAGACATCACCCAGGTGTTTCTTTAGGACCAAGTTTAATATAAAGAGTTTTAGCTAAGTGTTTTGTTCTTCTGAACAGAAGTTTAAGAAATAGAGTTTGTCCTGCTCTTCCATGTGCTGCTTTCCAAACCCAGTGCCTTCCCTTCTCTTATAAAACATGTAAACACTATCCTGACTTTTGTGGTTATTCTCTCCTTACTTTTGCTTATAGTTTTATTACCCAAGTGTGTCCTAGAGTTTAGTTTTGCTGAATTTTTTTAAAAATCAGTTTTTAAAAACTCTATTTCATTCCATTGGTTTCCCCTTATCCTTCTTTTTATTCTTCCTTGCAGTTTATTTGTTGAAAAAGCCAGGTTATTTATCCTGTATAGTCTCTCACAGTCTGGGTTTTGCTCTTGATTGTAGTTTTATATTTACAGTAAAATGAAATACATTTTAGTGACCTTTCCTTAAGATAATGATTTGTATGCAAGGCATTCTATGTCTCATTGAAGGAAGTTTTATTCTGATCAGAGAGGTGCATAATCCAGATCTTGAAGTTCTATTAAATCTTTTTTCCCATCAAAGTTTACAAAGAAAGGTTTTAGGCTGAAAAACATGATAAATACTTTTTATGTGTTTTTTAAATAAAATATATGAATATCATCTTTCACTTACATTTATTTCCAATTCATTTAAAAATTAAATTTGAAGTTTGTCCCTTAGTTTAGGGAGAACTTCTGTGTGTTTAACATAAACTTTAAGAATGTAAGTGCGAAACCTCAATTAATTAGAATATCCTGGGAACAAAATCTTTTTGTTTTGATTGTGTTGAACTATGGCTCTGGATTTTTAAGACAAAAGAAACTGGAGTTGATGAGGAGCAGTGAATAAGTCCAAACCATGCAGTTTGCTGTTTTATTGCTAGCTAGCTTTTTCTGTCTTGAAGCTGAAAGGTGCCAGGATTTTGATTAGTCGAAGTGTCCCATTACATAGGCTCTGGTCATCAGTATTATAATCCTAATAATAGTAATTACTAACATTTATTGCTCATGATGTGACAGTCATATGAATTTATATATATTCAATTCTCCAAACAACCTGTGATTATAAAATAACTACTATTCCACTTGACAGGGAACTGAGGTACAGAGAGGTTACATAACGGGCTGAAAGTAATAGAGGCAGGAGGGGTAGAGCTGCAGTTTGAATCTAGGTTATCTATCTCTGGAGCTGACTCTTACACCATGCTACCTACCATATAGTCTACGTTTATGGAAAAGATTGAAGGCAGAGGAGAAGGAAGTGGCAGAGGACAAGATGGTTAGAAAGCATCATTGACTCAAGGGACATGAATTTGAGTGAACTCCAGGAGATAGTGAAGGATGGCATGTTGCAGTCCATGGGGTCATGAAGAGATGGACCCGACTTAGTGACTGAACAACAACAGCAAATGTAAAATAGGATAGCCATACAAAGTGAAATGTATCTTATTTAGACTTATTATATATATATCTCATTTTCTAGAGGTTCCTAACAGTTGTACTTTTATGGTTTTATCTTTAAACTGAAAAGGTGGTTTGTGTAATGGGCCTTTAGGTATCCCTCTCAAATTTGGTTATGCGTTTGCGTAGCTTTTTGGTAGCATCAGTTGCCTTGGGCAAAATTGATAAAGACATACTCTAGTACAAAGCCTGTTTTATTTTTCATATCTCAGGAAAATTGCCATAGTAGGAGTTTTAGAACTCTGGGACAGGAATGGTAAATCTTCTGTATTTATGGATGGGGAAGAAAGTAGATTTCCTTGGAGTCAAAAAGTAAAAATAGACATCTTGGAAGAGATATGATTTATTATTGTATCATTACCAATGAATGATCATGACAAGTCACCAGTGTTATTAGTTCTGGTAGTATTTGGTTAAATTATTTGATCTCTGGTGATAATGATCATAAAGTAATAACTGCTGGGTGTCTTTTTTATTAGTTCAAATTATTTTCTAGATTGAATGTGACCACTCCTAACCTGTCCTTGAATCAGAATCCTAATCGTTAAGGATGGATATGTAGAGACACCCATTTTCCAGTATTGACTTTTGACTGGCACTTAACTGGTTACTGCCCATTACTTAATTGAATTGAGTGCACTCAGAGGTCATTGTCTCAAAGTACTAATTGGTTCCATCGTGGCAGTAAGAAGATGGATAAGAAGGCATTGGAGAAAGGGTCAAGGTTGAAGTCTGGAGATTGGAGAGTGCTGTGTGTTGAAGAGGAGGCGTCAGAGGAGAACATGTTTGCTTAAGGAGTGGAGAGGTTATTGTGACTAACCGGCTCCAGTATTCTTGCCTGGAAAAAGCCCCTGGACAGAGGAGCCTGGCAGGCTATAGTCATTGGGGTTGCAAAGTCAGACATGACTGAGTGACTGAGCAGAGAGAGGAAACCTTTTACTTGGATGGAATGGTGGTGGAATTTTCCTTAAAAAGTATTGTTTAGGCAAACTGAAATGGCCATGGTCATTTCTGGGAACTGAGTATCAGGGAAGTTGATACAGAAGCAAGGAGAAAGCCTGAGCGTTTTCTTACAAGATAGCTTTTCTCCTACTGGTCACATCCATCTCCCCTCCCCGAGGTTTGGCGGTTCATGAACATTTCTAGCTCAGCACAGTACTGTCACCCAGCAGGAGGCTGTGCTCCAAGGAGACTCCCTCTGCATTCAATTCAATTTTTAAAGTCAGATTTCCAGATCAATTCTATTTTCTTAAAAAAAAAAAAGATAGACCTAAAAATCCTGTCTTAATCATTTTGTCTTCCAAAATGAATGTGTCAATGACAGGCGAAAAAAATACTAGTGGAGGACAGCTATAAGAAATCACTTAGAAAACTTTACATGTGATAACTGTCAGGACTATGGATACCTTCCTGGCTTATGCTAACTTTCTAGTGTCTATAAACCTGAAAATCATCCATATAAAATTGCTTGTGATCTTGAATTGTATTCAGGTTTTCTCATATTATTTTCTAGATTTCCCCATGAGGAAAATAATTCTCAATACTTGAGTACTTCAAATGTGCACAATGTGTTAAAGAGATAATGTTTCTTAAGGTATCTTAAGAATTTTTTTTAGCAAAAAAAAAAAAAAACCAACCCACAAGTGATTATATGGTGCTATAAAACATTGTAGACTCCTTTATTAGGAAAAAATCTTCTCAATTATTAGTGACAGAATTTAATTTATTTAAAATGTACATTATAGTTTAGTGACTTCATTCTGCTTCTACTTTTTAAAAAAAATAACACCTTTACTTAACATATCCTTTTTTTTTTTAACATATCCTTTTATGAGGCGTAGATTTTTTTCCAAACTCGTTGCATATAATTGAATAGTACATAAATGCATAAACTGTTTCTTTTTTTAGTCACGGGGAGCACAAAAATAGCTAGTCAGCTGCCAAAGTGTCATTACATATATTTATTGCAGCAGAAAAGATGAACAAAGGGGTTAATCTGTTTTTACTTATCCTGCATATCCAGTTTCCTTATTGATTCTCAGAACTGCATTACCATCCAGATTCTCAGTTCTTTCTATAGAAGCAAGAAGAGTAAACGATTAAATAGAAAAGAAAAACCAGACCTTGGTACACAGTAAATTTTGCTGCATGCGTTGGTACAGAGTCTCCAATACTGCTGCATCAGTGATGAATCTTTTTTTCAAATAGCTTTTAGAATATCTTTGTTTTTGAGGCTGTCTTTGAGATGAAATGCAAGCAATAGCCACGGAATCTATACAAAGTAGCCAAGTAATCTATACAAAGGCTATTTAAAATCTCTGTCTCTCTCTCTTTAACGAGAACAACTCAGCAGCAGTACTTTTCCAAAATGTCTTTCTTATTTACATCTTTTCCTTATGTTATAGAAACAGGCTTTCTGTCTTGAATTCTCACTATAGTAGCTTTTCTAGAACTTCTTGGATATGGGAAGAATACTTAGTCACCTAAATAGTAATGAAGTCATATGGCCTATGAAGATGCTTTTATAAAGGAATTTTTAAAAATGGATCTTTTTATAGTTGTCACCTAAGCTCTTAGTTTTTATCACCTTTAATTTCAAATTGAAGTTTCAGGCATTTTCCCTGACTCTGTGGAGATGGGGAGGCATTTATCCAGTAAAGAAACCCAGTAATCATTTTAAGGCCAGCTGAAGGAGAGACTATCAATTAAAGATCTTTAGTTGGTCCTTGAGGGACTCCTGCTACAATGATAGGGATGTTTGGCAGATGCGACTACCCATA